ACTATAAGGAAGGTCGAGAGCCGAAGAATAGATTCTTTTGAACTATGGTGGTGGAGAAGACTCTTGAGAGTCCCTTGGACTGCAAGAAGATCAAATCAGTCAATCCTAAAAGAAATCAACCCTGACTGTTCCCTGGAAGGACAGATGAAACTGAAGCTCCAATACTTTGGCCACCAAATGAGAAGGAAGCACTCACTGGAGAAGACCCTGATGCTGGGAAAGATTGAAGGTGAAAGAAGATGGGGACGGCAAAGGATGAGATGGTTAGACAGTGACATCGCTGCAACGAACATGAAATTGAGCAAACTTCAGAGGACGGCGGAAGACAGGAGGGCCTGGCGTGATCTTGTCCATGGGGTCACAAAGAGTCGGACTTGACTGTGCGACTGAACAACAACAAAGGGTATTTCAGAAGCTTAACATGTCTCTCCTTTTAGATAACAATTCTCAGATGCCTGGATTCAGATCTTGGACACAATGGAAACCCACATTAACTGTAGTTAGGGCCAAGGCAGATATAACCTTTAACTGTGTTTAAGGACATTAGGGGAAGGCAGAGGGAATTCACAAGTTAATAAGAATGAACCACACGAACCTACAGCCTGCCTCATTTCTTTTTAACATGGTTAGAGATCAGACTGTACACTGACAGCTTTCCAACTACCTAGGAAGAAGGATGGTTGTACCAGGAGGCTGCATGTTTAAATTGTTCAACAATTTCATGTGTGAATTCTCTCAGATACTGCTTCCTTGCTGGGTAACTTATTTTAAATATAACTAAGTTTGAGTCCGGTGGCACCTTTAAAACCATCAGAGTTTTATTCAAGGTGTGAACTTTCGTGTGCATGCACACTTTGTCCGACAATAAAATGGAAATACAGATCATAGTTGTGTATATAGGGGTGGCTTGTTAAATAACATGCAAAATAGTGAAGATGTTTATTAACAGATCAAAAGAATGACAATCTCAGTTCCTAGTTATCATCTGTTTGGGTTTAACTAGGGGAGGACAACAAAGGTAATAAATGTCAGAACTAGAGATTGATGTGTCCTAAATTGTGAGAATCCAGTACTCAGATCCCATCCATCTCCTTTCTAGCACGGAGGTGAACTTCACAGCATCTTGGCTGTGTAGAGTATTTTCCTTGTCCCCAAATTGTAATTCTCTGTTGTTTTCCCTCCCTCCAATTGAATCCAAACAGATAACCAGAAACTGAGCTTGTTATTCTTTTGATCTGTTAATAAACATCTTCACCAGTTTGCATGCTATTTTAACAAGTCACCCATACATATACACAACTATGATCTGTAATTCATTGTCTGACAAAGTGTGCTTGCACACGAAAACTCACACCTTGAATAAAACTCTGTTGGTCTTAAAGGTGCCACTGGACTCTAACTTTGTTCTATTGCTTCATACCAACACAGCTGCTCACCTTGATTTATTTAAAATGTATTAGTTCTCACGCTTCACCCTCTCTCTTACATACAGCTATTTCAGACCATGCCCTGGATATACATAAAACCTATTTCCCTGCCCAAATCCTGCAAATTCACAGGATTCCCACAAGTTAAATGCATAAAGCTATCAAACAGTTCCAGTACTTACACTTTGCAAAAAGAAAATAAAGAAAAAAGAAACAACTGGTGCAATGAGAATTTAAAAAAAACAAAAAAAACATTAGGAATGCAGAAGTGTTTACCTCTTTAGAATCATCTATTCTTTCAAAGTAAACAAAAGCAAATCCTCGTGATCGCCCAGTCCGTTGATCGTAAACTACATTGACACCAGATAAAGGTCCATAACGGGAGAAGACTTCACGAAGATCCCTCTCAGTAGTATACAAGCTGAGGCCAAACACTCCAAGACATGTATTAGGGTCTGGATTAGCCTGAGAAATAAAAGTAAGGTGTTCAGGAATGTGCCTACAATAGTTTTTCAAAGAAATTATTTCTTAAAATACATTTGCTTAATGGTATTCCCCCTACAATGCAAAGGGAAGCAGATACTGTATCGCACAGTATATCAAACATTCAAAGTAACACCAAAAGGAAAGGAAAGTATGTCTGCTGCATCTACTCCACCACGGGATCAAATTCTTATCGGGAGATGGGAAAGTATTCCATCTTTGTTTATTAAGCTGATTTGAGGAGGAGGGGGCGCTGCAGAGAGCATTACAGCAAAATAAATCATCTATCCATAGATCTAACTTAGTTAGGCATTTTCTGCCTGTTATATCATACTATACCAAGCAGGTGAATAGCTTCTCTGACATCTGTCTACTGATGCTGTTATGATTCAATTTTTGTACCGCAGAAAACACACCTTTATTACCTAATGACAGGCTACATAACTGTATAGCTTCCTGCCTATAGTTGCATGTTCTAGGCCGTAATTTTGTTCAAGCAAAGCTTCCTCCTATCAGCCAGCAACTGGATCTTGTTAATCCTCCCAATATGTGAAGTAGAAAATCAGATGGTCATATTATGTACATGAAGATTAATGCCTTAACCCCAGAGAACCTCCATCTTTTGTGGTTCTGGCAAGAGAGCCGCAGACAATGGATCTTTCTTCTTTGAGACCACCACTACCCATATAAAGTGTTCCAAATATGTTCTGTGGGTAACAGAAAGGATTAATAATGTATCTCCTTCTCCTTCCTAAAACAACTCTAGTGTGTGCACTAGGAGTGTGAAAAAAAAATTTCCTTGGTATTTTTTAGTTTGGGTCTACTGGGTCCTGAAAAAAAATTCAGAATTCCTGAAAAACACTGATCCCAATACCAGTAAGGTGTTCAAATCCGGGATTTTTTGAGTCCAATACTCAAATCAAAAACACCGAGGGGGGAAGGAAGGCAGCAGCACAGCTGCTAAAAACAGCTGAGGAGCAACTTTAGACCAGATTGCCCAACAGAACCCGCCCAGAAGCCAATCCTGCTGGGCAGCCCAGTTTTGCCGGTAATTCCCAAATATATCTGGGATTTTTTTCCAGTTTTCCCAAAATTCCCAGATACATTTGGGAAGCTAAAATATAACCAAGAAATACTCATGAGGTGGGTACATAGAACTCTTCACTCTAAGATGACATCAGACGAATCTGGTGGGAGCTGAAGCAGAATTTTTAAAGGGCACCAGCATTTTTATGTGTATTTCAAGCTTATTTTGATGTTCTCTGCAGAAGGGATTTTTAAACACTTATTAAATGATAGATTATATACTTCTGAAGCAATTTAAAGGGCACCAGCATTTTTATGTGTATCTCGAGCGTATTTTGATGTTCTCTGCGGAAGGGATTTTTAAATACTTAAATGATCGATCATATACTTCTGAAGCAGATGTAAGTTATAAAGATCACTTCAGAAAAAAAAATGGGCATTTCACTTAGAACAACAGATCTTGTTTGTTTCCCAGTAATCCAGCAGAAGTTCACTGATCTACTAGGCTTCCACAGTCTTTATGTGAAATTAAACCTGATATATGTGACACTTCCTGCAGTTAATGTTCTACATCACAGACTAACTAAATGGAACAGTAAGTGGAAGCATTTCATAATCAATAAGAGAAAGTCATCTGTGGGACATCTTTTTTGCCCTGTCCTAAGGCCAAGGAATATATAGTGATATCCTCATTTTAAAGTCACAACTCTGCTATGAAGGGCTTAACCCTAACTACCCCACAAGTATCACAGTTATATGAGGACTTCATCAACACATTAATGCACCAATAACTACAGGTCTTATTGGACTCCATTACATTGTCTACAGTTTTGTGTCTGGGACAGGCATTACAATTAAGTACTGTGCAGTACAGTAATGATGGCTGTTCTTATTTTCACCCTCCTTCCCTCAAAGACAATCACAGGGCGACAGGATAGGCAACAAGCCAGCTTGGGCAAAAAGTGCAGGTGCTCAGGCTGCTGGTTGTACTGCCGCCTGAGGAAAATCAGCAATGTAACAGCTGTGCTACTTGTATCCTACCAAAATTTTATTCCACTTTTCTTTCCAGGGGCTCAGGCTGGCATACAAAGGTGTGTTCTTTCATTTTATCCTCACAATAACCCTGTGAGATAAGTAAAGAAAAAGGCTGACCCCAAGGTCACCCAATGAGATTTGTGGCTGAGCTGAGATTTGAATCCAGGTATAATACACTGCCTACAATACACTGTAAAACTTAAGTACTGAGAAAATAAGATTAAATGAAGAATAATAAGAATGATGGATATAGTAGTTGTGAGGCTCTAATGAGAAAATTTGCATGTATAATGTTAAATTGTACATAAACTAATAAAATTCTTTTAAAAACCACACAAAATCAAGTAATGAAACACTAAGCTAGCTTCTGTTCTGACAAATGCCTGAGGATTTAAATATATTTCTATAGAACCTTGGTTACATTGACTACATACTCTACTGCCAGTGTGCCTTCTCCTGTTAGACATTGGTGAATGACTGCGGCTCCTTCTACGACGATACTCTGGGGTATAGGACCTGCTTCGTGATCGCCTTCTGTGAGAATGGGATCGAGAGCGACTGTAGCGCCTGTGAGAATGCCTTCTTGATCTAGACCTTCAAATGATAAAATGTAAGTTATATGCAAATACCTGAGATAATTATCTACATTTTTGCAAATTAATGTATTCAAATACATGTATTCATCACCTACTTCTACAGTGAATACATGCTAACAAGAGTATATGAGAATAAACTACACAAGTAGCAAAGTATTTCCAATACCCATTTATACAGAAAGTCTCTCATGTGCATGCATACCTAGGCCTCACATGCCTACTAATGTAAGTAACAACTGTCAGCATAACAGCTGGATGGAATATAGTATGCGCACTCCAAAATGCACTAATCACCAGAAAAATCTGAAAATAGGATCTACGTATACCTAATACACAACATTCAGACTATTCACCAGAAAAATCTGAAAATAGGATCTACCTAATACACAACATTCAGACTAGTATGTTGACCATTATAGGAGAAAGCACTCCTGTTTGGAGCACACAATCATATTCAGGGCAGAATGCGGAGCTTAGAGAGTTTCTCTGTGATTGGAGGAAGGAATAGTACATAGGATATTTGTCATATATGGTTGTGAATTTACAAACATCCAAGTTAGGAACACTACTCAGTGAATCTTAACATCACAAAAATACATACCTGGATTTTGATCTTGATCGAGATCGTGATTCAGAATGCTTAGAAGCTCTTGAAGGGCTACGAGATCCTGACCTGCTCTCAGATTTTACACGAGCAGGGCTCCCAGCTGGAGATTTTGACTGGGAGCGTGACGCCTAACAAAAAAAATGGTATTACAAATGGTACTGGTTGCATAAATGCCTACCTTCTTATATTAAAAGTAACTATATTTTATTGATTGTGCCTGAAAGATAAATGGTTAGGCAATACCCTCCAGAACAAATTTGTTTAACCCACTGTTAACACTGTGTGATTTCCTCAAATAATTTCCTACTTGAACCAAATGCTCTATTAACTAAGTAATCATGCAAATTCATCTACAACTTGATCATACAGACACTGGAACATAAACCATACATTTACTTAACCTAGGACCCATTCATTCTTCCAGATTCTTTTAATTCTACTTCACTCTTGCTTTCTACTTTTCTTCATTCTTCATTTTTTCATTTTTCATACTTCGTGTATTCTTCCCCAATTCACACAATTCATTATAGCCTTAAAAATATTCAAGTGCTTCTATCTGACCAATCTTCTGTTCAATTTTTTCCCCCATTCAATTTTAATTTTCTGATCTTTAATACTTTTCATTAGCCTTCTTTTATCTTGATTTATCTTCCACATTCTTGGAAAAAACTCTTCCATTTCTTCACGAACATTAACCTTAATGGAAAAAGAACATTTAGTATATTTAAGCAAATGGGGATTATAAAACTCTGCTGGAGTTTCAGAATGTTATCTACCAAAATGGAATAGCCAGCAGGTAAAGTGCAAATATAATTATTTAATAAAAGCAATTTTTAGAAAGTATTTTAACTGGTGTAATCATATAGGCTCTAATAATGAGTCCACTGATTTCCTTCTGCATTTCTCAAATGTTCTATATCTATTCTGCTCCCTAACTTTTATCTCTTTTCAGTTCTGTAAGATACACACACACACACACTTAAATGGTGACTCAAGTACTAGCATTGCCTGAATGCATTAAAAAGTATATACCAGGATCCACAGAACTACTTTAGGTCCAGTGGAATACCCACCTTTTTAGAGATTTACGAAACTGCATGAGGAACCATAGTTGCTCAGCTTGAATTTGTGAAACAATTAGTGTGGTTCTTTAGATCCAGGCTAGAGCTATGTTTGGTCTTAACATTCTGGCATGCAAATTTATTTCTGAACATTACCATTCAATCCAAACTATGCAATAGTTGCACAACAAAATATAAATAAAGCCATGCTAGGGTTCTTGTTCTACAACAGAAATGGCATCAATTTTGGTACTTGTGTAAAATAATTTTTAGGACAGTAGGCTGTGTTATTTTATATGCCTTTCAAGTCATGGCAATAGATGCATCAAAGCAATACAGGAAAGGCTGACCTAGTGTATGCATTGGTGCACCTAAATAAGGCGGAACACAAGCAAAAGAATAGAATTTCCCTTAAAATAATCTTACCCAAAGGTTTAGGTGTCAATGTACTTGAATCTTCATTATATGTACATTAGGAAGAATATGAATTAAGGTACATAAAAACAGCATCCTTCCTTTACTAGTCACATTAACCCTAATTAATATTAACCCTAATATTAACCCAATCTAATATTCACATTAAAAAGTGCTAACATCTTTTTACAAACGCTATTTCTTCTAACAATTATAAGTGTTTCAGGGCCAATTTCTGATTCCAACACTAGTGTGGTCACTTGATAGTCTTTTTTCATTACAGTTTCCCCAGTTTCCTATTGTTTGTGTCTCTGCAAAGGGAAAAGCTGTGAAGCTTTCAATGAAAGTATTGTAATTCTCAGTTCTTTTGGTGGCTTTCCCACACTCAAGTTTAAGCCAATGCTTTCCTCACCTGTCTCTGCAAAGGGAAAAGCTGTGAAGCTCTCAATGAAAGTACTTTATTGTAATTCTCAATTCTTTTGGTGGCTTTCCCATACTCAAGTTTAAGCCCATGGTTTCCTCACTTTACTAAAATACCACATAGTGAAGACCTGCTTGTCAAATAATGCTAGATATAATAGGTATGGCCTCATGTTAACTGCCTGACCATCCCAAGAAAGCCCACTTAACTGGGAATCTCTTGACTCAATCTGCTCACTAGCATACCTCTAGGAAAGGAACAGTTTATGGTGTAGTGCTAGGTTGCGTAAGTTTTGAATACCATTCTGCAACAGGTAACACTACTAACCAAATGGGTATGAATCATAAAACTCCACCTTCTCAGGAAATCATACAATATTAAGGAGTCATGTGAAGCACATAAATCTAATAATCAGTCCCTTTCAACCAATCAGCTTCTCCTCTGAATAAGCTTTATTTTTGATGCCTACAAATATCTAAATCCATAATGTAGCAGTGTGCGGAAAGGGATATATTTTTCCGAGCAAAGCCAAGAGGATTAACTTGATATGTTCCCAAGAACAAAGTTCTGTGGCATCTTACAAGCTTTCTGCTGTCAAGAGTTCATAAAATTCTGCTTTTAAAGATACACAGAGCCCACTTTTTCCAGATATAGAGGGACCACAGCTTGGACTAGAGCACATGTTTTACATGCAAGTTCAAGCACTGGCTTGTCCACATAAAAGGATCTCGGGTAGCATGGGTAGAATTATCATGACCCTGAAAACCACTGTCAGTCACAGTAGACAATGCTGCGTTGGATGGCCTGATTCAGTGAAAGGCAATTTCATATGTTCAAGGCTGTAATACTCATGTATGGGGGAATTTTCAGTTTCAGCTGAGTTTGGAGGTGGTGCTGTCTAATATTCCAGGGTTCCAAAGAGGCAGGCTGTCATTAGCAACAATGAACCTCTTTCTGGCAACCATCTGCCTAATCCCAGCATAATTTAGGAGCCTGTATCTCCAAGTTCTTTGTGTATCATGGAGGACTTATGGGAAGGAAGGAGTTGACAGGACCCAAAATTATAACTGACTACCAAGGTTCAAAAATATTCAAAATAAACAGTTGTGGTGGAAAAGCACAAGACTAAACTGCTCTAACGCATTTTAGTTACTGTGGTAGTTAGGGATACAAGGAAGAGTTGCATAACCCCTAAACTACCAAAAACAATGGATTAGTAAACTGTGAAAACTTATCTAACTTTTCAGATTATGTCTTGAGAATCTAGTGATGCACTGTATTCTTGGTGCTTGGAGGGGGGGACGACAGTGGGAGGGCTTCTAGTGTCCTGGCCCCACTGCTGGACCTCCTGATGGCACCTGGTATTTTTGGCCACTGTGTGACAGAGTGTTGGACTGGATGGGCCACTGGCCTGATCCAACATTGGCTTCTCTTACATTCTTAGAAAGATGGGGAATCTCCCTTATAAATAATAGCCGAATGGTGGTGGCACTTCTCTAGAACATTCCACACGCTCCAAAATCAGTTCGCTCTCTGATCTGTCATTCAGAGGGTCTCCCTATCCACTGGCTGCTTTGCCTGAGTCCTGCCTCCAACATTCTAAACATTTTACTAATCCTCTCCCCCCCATAGCCAGTAAGAACACAGAGGTTATTTGCATATGCAGCCTCATTGGCCTCTGCCTCAGAACACGGAGGTCGTTTGCATATGCGACTTGATTGGCTTTTGCCTCTAACATTCTAAACAGTTTGCTGTTCTGAGGTAAAATGTGTCTAATCTCCAGGTGAGGGCTGGAGACCACTCAGAATTACAACTGATTTCCAGAAGGCAGAGATCAGTTCCCCTGGAGAAAATGGTGGGCTCTGTATCCTTATATGCTGCTGAGGTGGCCCCTGTATGACAGCCAATGGGACGTAGCAGTCAGGGCTTCAGAGCATGGGAGAGGCTGCAGGTGTGTGGGGGGTGGAAAGCTGAAGAGGGGGAAATAAAGGTAGGTTGATGATTGGCTGGGAAGGAAATAGGTTTGCCAACTCTAGGTGGGAAATTCCTGGAGATGTGAGGGATGGAGCCTGGAGAGGGTGAGGTTTCAGGAGGCGTGGGACCTCGGATAGGTACAAAGCCATAGGCTCCACCCTCCAAACCAACCATTCCCTTCTGGGGACCCATTGTTGCCAGTCTCCAGGTGATGGCTGGAGATCACTCAGAATTACAACTGTTCTTTAGGTAGCAGAGATCAGTTCCTCTGGAGAAAATGGTGGACTCAGTGTCATTATACCCTGCTGAGGTCGCCACAGCAAATTGACACTGAGTGTCCAAGGACGGGGCACCCGCCCAGAGCCTCTTTCTAGAGGCCGTTGTAAAAGGCCCTTTGGATGTCTGTCAAGTAAGTTATTTCAAACAAAATCATGCACCATTACTTTATCCTTGGCATTAAAATATTTCCCCCATTCTTCATTCTAGTTGTACAGCTGTTGCCATTAAAAATTTATTTACTTATATATTGCTTTGATATTAATAACCTATAGCCTTTTTGAAATTGCCAGACAAGAGATTCTAAGTAATTCTATTTTGTTCCAAATACTTCTGACTGGATCGGGCTATAATGCCTCTTCAGTGATTAAAAAAAGTCAGAAGAACTATTACCTGGGGAGGAGAGGCTCTGGCTTGTTACAAGGCAGAACTCTGGCACTGGAAAGATTTATTGGTTAGACTCTGGTAAACCAAGATCATAGCCCAAAAATGCCACACAGTCATAAGATTTGCTATGATGCTCAGAACATTTCACTGTCTTTCAACCTAAAAGCCTCTATTTATTGATTACATTTGAGTTGCTCAGAGATTGGAATAAGACATAACAGTAATGCAGATTGATTCTACTACTGAATGTAATTTTACCACCTAGCATTAAAAAAGCCCAATTAACCTATCTGAGATACTATACAACTTCAAATACAAATAGGTGGGTTCTGAAAGGAGTCCTGAAATAAATATGCACATGACTACAAAATCCTTGCAACAATACCCACTGAACAAGGCAAATGAGGTACTGGATTCAATAAGTACAAATCTAAAGATTCCTTGACTATACATGGAGTAGTCAACCAAATAACAACTAAGCACTCAAGGAATGTTTAGACTTCTGCTTCTTGAATAGTAATATCTCATCTACAACATCTAGTGGGGATAATGTTGGAAGGATTTTGTACTGGTATGCATACTTATTTCAAGTCTGCTTTCAGATTTTTTCTTCTACTTATGTTCTGAAAATGTGAAAAGTACCTGCAGATTTATATTTTTAATTAGGGAATGTTCATTCACAAGTTTACATTTAAAACAAGGAGTGGATTGTCATCAATGTGCATACGGAGAGTAAACATAGCTGAAATTCCAGAGCTAGGTTTGGTAAAACTTTTTAATAGAAATCAGTAGTAAATCTGATTTCAGTTTTTAAGAACAGTCTCATCTCGCTTGCTAGATAACCAAAAGGCAAGGGGGAAATAAGGTTATTTATTTACAGAAGTGCTCCTCCCTCCCTTTTCACCCTCTCTTCTTCTGAGGACACATCAGGAAGGAAAAGGAATCAGAAAGGGTGAAAGAACACTGCTTTTGAGACACACAAAGAACTTGGCTGAAAATGAAAGTAGAAGTGAGCTGCAAGTCTTGCGCTTTAAAGCCTTTAAAGGAACAGTGCAGCAACTTTCTTTGCCTTAAAAGCACTTGCCAGCATAAGAAACAAGTGCTTTTGGGAATACTGTAAGCACGGATCTACAATTTCAAGTCCCTATGCATTCAACATCCAGCCACCTGTAATTGTTCCAGTCTTGTAAACAACTATTTAAGGTCAACTATATATTTATTTTTAAACTTAACCTACCCACTAATGTCTTCCTCAACACTACCAATCAGATTTACTGGAAACTGCACTGCTTGGTCATTAAGCTTCAGAAAAACACTACTCGGAGTAAATTCATGTATTTGTAGATGTGTGAGATGTGTAGATGTGGTTTTTGCCATCACTGGAAAAATACTATTTAGAATCTCAGGCATTATATTTTTCAAAGTTATTACAAATTTTCATCACATGGAACTCTGGACAGTTTTATTATTTTTATTTACTTCATTCATATCCCGTAGTTCTCCCCAATGAGGACCTAAGCAACTGACAATGTTCTCCCCTTCATCTTATTCTCAGAACAACCCCTGTGGTAGGCTGAGAGTATGTGACAAGCACAAAGTTGTCTAGCAAGCTTTCATGGTGGAGTGGGGATCTGAACATGGGCCATCCAAATCCTGGTCTGAAACTCTAAATGTTACACCATATGATCACAATTTGCATAGGGTGCAAATTTCTCGCCTAATTTCTGATTTTCCAAGACTTCAACAGTTCTGGAAATTTTCTTTCTCTAGTGTCAACTCCACTGAATGCCTGTGATCACAATTTGCATAGGGTGCAAATTTCTCATCTAATTTCTGATTTTCCAGGGCTTCCACAGTTCTGGAAATTTTCTTTCTCTAGTGAACTCCACTGAATGCCTGTAAGAATAGTCTCCAAGAAACCAATTATGTTTATAGAAATTAGCTTCTATAGGCCATAATCTATGAACAGAAGTATACATGAGCTAATAAATGTTGGGTGTGTTTACAAGCCCATGCAAGAGATTCGTGTTTATACTATAAAAGGTAAATACAATGTTGCCCTTATCTGGATGGCCCAGGCTAGCCCGATCTCATCAGTTCTCAGAAGTTAGTATTTGGATGGAAGACCACCAAGGAATACCAGGGTCACTACACAGAGGCAGACAACAGGTAAATCCACCTTTGAATGTCTCTTGCCTTCAGAACTCATAAGTTGGCAGCAACCTGAAGGCACTTTCCACCAATACCAAATATGGTGTTAGGTAGAAGAACACTAACTGATGAAGAACAGGTAGATCAAACCTGTTTTTCAAAAATTCTTAAGATACTGACTCTTAATGTAATGAACTAATCAGACACTGGTGTACTGCTACTGCATTGCTAGTGTCATGAAAATTACATGTACATATACAATTTTACACTTAATGTTTTCCATTTTCCCAACAGGAAAACTGTTACCATTTATTGTAACGATATTCCAACCTACTTTTTGCAAGTAAACTGTTAACTCTTTCTACTTAAATGATCCAGTGTCAAAACAAAAAAGAAAAAAAAATGACCCAGTGTCATTTATTACTTTTACATATACCAGGGTCACTACACAGAGGCAGACAACAGGTAAAACCACCTTTGAATGTCTCTTGCCTTCAGAACTCATAAGTTGGCAGCAACCTGAAGGCACTTTCCACCAATACCAAATATGGTGTTAGGTAGAAGAACACTAACTGATGAAGAACAGGTAGATCAAACCTGTTTTTCAAAAATTCTTAGATACTGACTCTTAATGTAACTAACTAATCAAACATTGGTGTACTGCTACTGCATTGCTAGTGTCATAAAAATTACCTGTACATATTCAATTTTACACTTAATGTTTTCCATTTTCCCAACAGGAAAACTGTTACCATTTATTGTAACGATATTCCAACCTACTTTTTGCTAGTAAACTGTTAACTCTTTCTACTTGAATGATCCAGTGTCATTTATTACTTTTACACATTACACTTGTTCTGTAACTGTCAGCCTAGGACAGGGAAGACCAAGTTCAGTTCTCCATTTTGCTCACTTGGGTGACTTTAAGACTGTCACATGGCTTAAACCTACCCCTTAGAAGAGTTGTTGGGAGGATAAAATGTAGACTGCTCTAAGCACACTGAAGAAATGGCAGAATACCAATAAAATACAATTCACCAAAACTTCACAAAATATTCTGCAGCCTACCAATAACAGCCACATTTCATGGCATAACTCATGTTAACTGTCAAATCCCATGTGTATAACTGGCACTGCTAGTAAAAGGATTCCCAGCTACCACTATTCAATAAAGATTTTCTATTTGTACTTCTTATATTGGTATGGAAAGTTACGAATTGTAACTACACCAAAGACGTGTCTTAAAAATACGCTCTAAATTCCTTTGCAACTCTTTTTATTCAGTAAAAAACTGTTTATGCTGCTTTACACATGCACAAAATGATAAACACCTAAAAAAATAGCCTAACAAGGAAATTTACACTGGAGACATTTTCTCAAGGAAGCAATCCCAGCACTATTTAAAACATAGCGCCCCAGCATCATTACAGCGGGGTGCTTCCTTTACTGAAGGGACAACTTGGGGATTTTCTGCAAGTTAAGAAAGAAAAACCCTCACAATTGGAAAAATGAGATGAGCACAGGACAGTGAAGACAAGGGGCAATGGATGCGAACTATATGCATGCCTCTCTTTCATTGTTACTAACTATAAGCACACACATAGAAAAATGTTTGCGGTTATCATACCTTACTTAATGCCCGACCGGACAAAAACCGGATTGAGGCATCTGATGGGCAACCAACAAACCTTGCCGAAAGTCCGAGGAGCCTTTTAGAGAAAGCGCCTCTATCCTGCGGACCCCAGCGGGGACATCGTGACGCTTTGCCCCCAGAGAGGCCCGGCGTCCGACTCTTTCTTCCACAAGCAGAGCCCTTCACTGTCCTGTTGCCCGATCTACACTGACCGTTCGGGATCCCACCCTCACCAGCCCAACACACACACACGCACAGGCACACTCCCGTCGACTAGTACGAGGCTTGGGAAGACACTGGAGGGCGGCGAAGAGGGAGGGCAGCGGAAACAGGGCAATGAGGAAGACTCCGCTTCAGCAGAGGGCGGCTGGTGGCCGTCCAGGGCACGAGATCACGGCAGGGTTTAGAACCCTCATTTGGGGCGGGGCGACGAACGGAACGCGGAGAGCGGGGCAGGGAGCGCCAAGGATCGTGCGGGCTGCAGAATCCAGGCACAAGACGGGGGCTCCCAGAGAACAATAACAAGGGGGGTCCCCGGGCAGAGGCTGCAAATCTAGACCGTACTCACCATAAGAAAAAGCGGGCTGAGCAAGGAACAGCCCCGTCAAGAGACTGCGCGGCCTCACCTTGGGCGAAGGAACCATTTAGGCGAGAAATGCCTTCTCGGATGCCCTCCTTCCCGCTTAACGCCCCGCGAGGAGACTAGTTTTTGCTCTTTACCCACTGAGCGCCCTCAG